CGCCCTGCGCCGCCCCAGCCCCTGGGGACACCCCCCGCACCCCCCACACACACACACAGGGGAGAGGGCAGGGCCCGTCTGCGTGGGCCCCTGAGACTGTGTCTAAGGATGTCACTGCATCATTGCGCTTCCTCCCTGTGATGGCAAAGCCAGGAAGCGTGTGAACGCCCAGTGACCATTAGCTACATGGGGGGCACTACCCAGGGAAGCACAGGTGTTTCTGGGGTAAGTGGCACAGCACAGTGACAGCTGCCTGGGGGCAGGATAGGACCTGGGGCCCCGGCCGGGTTGGCTCAGTGGGTGGAGCGTCGGCCTGTGGACTGAAGGGTCCCCAGTTCGATCCCAGTCAAGGGCACGCACCTCGGTTGCAGGCTGATCCCCGGCCCCGATGGGCCACATGTGGGAAGTAACCAATAGATCCATGTTTCTCTGTGTGTCTCTCCTCCTCCCTTCCACCCTCTCTGAAAATCAATGGAAAAATATCCTTGGATGATATTTTTAAAATATAGATTTTTTTAGAACAGAGGACAGTATGTGTGTAATGTGCAGGAGCCAGCCTTTGAGCGGTGCCTGCTGAGTCCTGGGGGGCCCCGTGGGTGGGGAGACGGAACTGGAAGGTGCCCCTGCCCACTCCTGTCCCTCTCCGAGCTCTGCTTCCCACAGTGTGTTCCTGGCACTGCCATTCCCCAGGCGGTCTGTACCCAGCATCTGTGCCCAGCAGAGTCGGAAGCCGGAGTCCCCGGGGGAGTCCCCAGGGTAGCTGGTGGCATCCTGGCACTTGGGTGTCATGGATTTCTTAATGAACCTTATTTAAGTACCCTAACTGCCAAATATAAAACCATTCCACAAAAAGATCACCCACACTTCCCCGGCCAACTAATGGGCCTGGAAACAGAGCTGGAAGTTACATTTGTTGAACTGGACCGGTTCCAGTCAGGGACGCCGTGTCTTCACAAAGTCCCTCAGAGCAGGTGGCCATGTGGCCTGAGCGAGACAGCGGGTTCTCTGGGCTGAGGCAGGACCAGGCCCGGTCCACGGGGGGCGTGGAGGCTGACCGGCAGCCCCGTCACTCGTCGCTCACCCTCGTCTCCCACAGCTCGTGGAGCCCCTGACCCCCAGCGGGGAAGCGCCCAACCAGGCCCTCCTGAGGATCCTAAAGGAGACCGAGTTCAAGAAGATCAAGGTGCTGGGCTCCGGCGCGTTCGGCACCGTGTACAAGGTGAGACGCCAGACACAGCACAGACGCTCCGGAGGCCCGGGCTGGTGGCCCCTCGCCTCCCGGGGGAGCGAAGCCAGAGTCCTCGGCTGTCGTCTATGTGTGTCACTTATTCCTTGTATTGCTGAGGGTTTGGGACATTCCAGCATTTTTCCCAAGTTGTTGAGGGGAAATCTTTTATAATCACGGCGCCGAATAACTGGTCCTGTGAGTCGTGTCCACAGACGCATTTTATAGAAGTTGGCATTGACCCTAGAGGTCAGCTTCCGAGTCAGGCCCCGGTCCGAGCAGCCTCCTCTCCATCGTCTGTCTCTGGTCCTCTTTGCGTGAAGCCTGCTCTCAGTTAGGCCTGGCCCGGGTGCCTTAGAGCTGTGGGAGCAACGGCGCACCCTGTGTCATGGGCACGAACATAGGGTGTTTATCCGAAGACTCTGATCCGTGGACCGTGATCGCCAAAGAGCCGCTGAGACTTGGGGGCTCCCGGTGCCGGTGGCCTTGCCGTACAGGGCTAGCCCTTCTGGACGGCGTCACTCCTGAAGCCCCACGTGGCGTGTGTAAGGCCTGCCGGCTCATGCCTGCTCTCTCTCTCTCTCTCTCTCTCTCTCTCGCAGGGGCTCTGGATCCCGGAGGGCGAGAAGGTTAAAATCCCCGTGGCCATCAAGGAATTGCGGGAAGCCACGTCTCCGAAGGCCAACAAGGAAATCCTCGACGTGAGTCCGTCCCCTCGCTGCCACGGGCCTGGCGGTCAGGGGCCGCCTTTCTCGGGGCGGGCAGCACGCTGGCGTGGGACACTTCCTTCATCTCCACGTTGAAGGGTCACTGTCCGTGTCTCCTTCCTGCTGCCTCTCGTTGGCGTGCGTCCCTCTCAGGCCTGAGGGGAGGGGAGGACTCGGCTCCGCCATTCTCTCCTCTCCCTCCAAGGGTGGGCCTTGCTCTCGCGAGGTTTACACTGTACACGCCGTCGCCCCTGGTGAACTCGGGGGTGGGGATGATGCCCAGTACCCTGTCGATGCAGAAATGGAGGCCCAAAGAGACGTGCTCAGGTTCCCGGGGAGGTGGGGGGGGGATGGGGCGTAGGGATCCAGCCCACTGTCCCTCTGACTCGGAAATTCACGGTCACTTTGCTCCATCGAGTTCTCTTACCTTTGAAATGACGTTTGAAAGATGCCTAGAATGTACAATATGATGCGCTAGCGACTCCAGAAACGGTTGCCCGCCTTCTGCGCTTGCTCCCCAAATAATTGCAGTGTCCTCGGCCTCTCTGGATGGTTACTTTGTGGAGGAGTCCTTGGAATGTTCCACAGGTTATGATGTTTTCGCTTTGGTGGACGTAAGACATGTTCAGGCCTCTCCCTCCCACCCCGCCCCGAGAATTGTTATGAGTTAATTTGAGCCAAACTACGACAGTTGCCGGGAAGCGGAATCCCAAAGGATTGGGGAGATGCTGCGGAGAGTGGCAGGTTTGCAGCTTGTTTTATAGCCGGGAGTCGAGAGGCACGAGGAGGGAGCGTCACATCCATGGGTGGTGGGTGAAGGGGCGGGAGAAAGCACAGCCGGGAAGTCTCCGGGATTGGAGCCAAGAGTGAAACGAGGGGACACATACTTCTTGTCTCCTGTTGGTTCGGGGGAGTGAACAATCCACAGCCCGTAGAGATGGTATTCGGGGAGCAAGATAGCCATGAGGGCTCCTCTGAGCTCGTGTTCCCGGGAGATGGTGCCCCGAGAGGCCCAGGAGAGAGGATTGCTCTCCATCGCCAGGGTCCGTGATCCTAGACCCAGAGATGATGGACAGCCCCGCTGTGGCGGAAGATGGGCCTTGGCCAGAGGAGCCACAGGCCTGGGCCGTGACTGCCGCCAGGACCTGCTCTTAGTCAGGGGTTTTCATGATCAGAGCATCCCGTGTGGTTCCTTTGGCCTCCGAGTCTGTGGGGCCCGCCACGCTGGGCTCCGGGAGCTCGTCAGGTGAGCCTGAGGCCGAGCTGTGCCCACGGAGGAGGAGGTGTCAGCAGCGGGTTAGGACGCAGAGCTAACGGACAAGGAAAGCGACCCCAACGTCTCTGGGGTGTGGCTCCCCTTTCAGCCAAGAAGGGCAGCGGTCGGCGGTGACATCCCCACTTGGCCTCCGACCCACAGACGATCTCAGTGAGCCACGCCAGCGGGGACCCTTTCAAACGGGCTTGGAGGCAGCGACCCCCCAGGGGCAGCCCCCCTCCACTTCAGTTCTCCAGGGGTCCCCCTGCCTCCACCGGTTCAGACGCCCCCTGAACTAAGACGCCGCATCCATAAGCGCCGTGACAGCCCCCACACGAACACATACTCGTCAAAGGCAATTACCTCTCGCCGTCACGGCTCACAGATCAGTGTGAAGCCCCTTTAGCACGGTGTCGGCTCCTCTTAGCGGAACCAGGAGGAAGGGAGGGGACACGGCATTCGTGACGGCCCTCCTCCCCCCACCTCCTGCCCACCCCTCGGCCCTGCTGCAGGGGAAACCTCCGCAGCATCCCCTTCACTCACCACTGACTCCTTCCGGAAGTCCTCGTGGGTCTCACAGAACGACGCTGAAGCGCGAATTCCCGCCATGTCACCAGGCAGAGGGAGGTGGGGGCCAGTAGCTATGCTTTGGGAGGAAGCATGTTCCCTGGAAAGGGCCCCCAGAGCCCTGACATTGGAGGAAATGTGCTTTCGGGGGACAGAGAAGTAGACGATAGAGACCCCTGGGGCCGAGCGCCTTCTTTCGAAGGCTCGCGGGAGCGTGTACATCGAGCATGTCAAACTCACAGCCGGCAGTCCACATGCCGGGCACCTATTCTTTGTTCTTTTTTAAAAAAATACAGTTTTATTTATTTCAGAGAGGAGGGGAGAGGGAGAGAGAGAGAGAAATATCAAAGATGAGAGAAAATCACTGATCGGCTGCCTCCTGTACACGCCCCATACTGGGGATGGAGCCCACAAGCTGGGCCTGTGCCCTGGCAGGAATGGAACCGTGACCTCCTGGTTCCTAGGTCGATGCTCAACCCCTGAGCCACCCGGCCGGGCGAGGGCACCTACTCCTTACTCTTAAGGGGAGACAGGCTCTGCTGAAGGCGGTTGAGAGCGGGGGGCTCTTTTCCCAGAGCTCAGCATGAAATCGTCTCCCATGGGAAGTCAGGCAAGAAGGAAGGATCCAAAAACTCATTTTGGCAACTGGGACAAAGCAACCGACTTTCAAGGTCCCCAGGCCTCAGACACCCTGCTCGTGACTGGGACCCTGTCCTGGGGGCTCCGAGTGCGGGCTCTGCCCGCTGGGCGGGCGGGGCGGTGGAATACCAGGCGTGCTCGCCGTGGGTCACCCTGTGCCTCCGAGATTCCAGAACAAACAGCGAAGGACCCAGCTCACTCGCTGGTGCGCACACTGAACGGGACACGTGACCCAACAGCGTCCCCATTGTGCCTGGGGCGGGGGGAGGGCGCGGAAGGGGCGACCTGGTTCTGTTCCTCCATCAGATTGCAATGGGGCCGGAACCTGGCGGGGCTCCAGGCTCTGTGTGGCCCGACACCTATCCATTAAGGACCTATTCTCCAAAATTCATACTGAACTCATCCAATTAAACAAACCGGTGCTGGGCGCGGATTTTTCTCCCTCGAAATGAGGACAACATGTTTCCCAACCCCCGGAGCCTGAGCTGCAGGGGCCGCCGGAGGCCTGCCTGCCTGCCTGCCTCCGTGTTGTGGTTGTACCGATTCCCAGACTCGGGGGAGAGAGTGATTTGTGCTTTTGGCAGCCACGGGCCTGTTCATTTTTCCGTGGACTTTCCAGCTTAAGCTGAGGGCGGGCCAGGGAATGGGAATGCAAAACAGATCTGCGGATGTGCAGGGTGTGCGCCGCGCTCCGTCCCGAGCTCTCGGTGGACCTGCAGCCGGCACGGGCCAGAGAGCCGCCCAGGACCGTGGTCTCGGGTGGGCTGTTCGCCTCCTGGCGCCTCGATTCCCTTTTAGACAGAAACGGCCTCGGAGGAAAGGCACTCAGGCCTCTACAGGTCTGACTTCCTGTGGCGGGCCCTGCCCCGATGAGGGCTGGGGGACTGTGCCGGGTCTGCCACGGGCACGCGTCCTGCTGGGTCGTAGGCGCAGAAAGGAGAACCGCAGCTCCTTAAAGGGGGAGCC